CCACCACACGTCAGACACGTGTTGGAGATGCCTGGAACAGTCAGGTACGGTCTACCATGTATGGTGGACTTGCTCAAAGATCACACCATTTTGGGCACAAGTCTCGATACTAATAACAGACACTACCAAAATAACAATGGCTCTTCAACCAGAGCAGTACCTATTACAACTATTACCAACAAATACTACTAAAGCTACAAAATATTTGATTTACCATATACTAACAACGGCACTACAGGTGATTAGCAGAAACTGGCTGTCCCCTCACACTCCGAATTTAGCATCATGTATCCAAACCATAGATAACTCCAAAAAGGATGAGATCATGGCCAGGAGAACCAAACCCCAGACGCAATTCTGGGAAGACGCCTGGCACATATGGAACGAGTGCAATCGTGCAACAAAATTGGCCAACACTGTACGCTAACGAGTATAGAGAATACCCTTGGAACTAATATACTTAGCAAATAGGCCCTTAGGTCATTAGCCATTCCAACCTCGACTAACAAACCCTCCTTTCCCCCACCTCCACCATTAAAAGTGAAAGCATTAAAACACCTAAATGCAGTAGGAGAATACACAAAACGATTTCATTGTATGAACTGTTTGTAAAATATATAACAATTCCAACTGTAAACCACTGTTCAAATGTACCGATGTTTGAGACTGCAAAACAATAATGTAATGCATGTTATACCTCTGTACCAACCCAAAACTGTAAAAAAAATAAAAAAATATCCTGACGTTAGGCTCCAAATTAGAAATGGCCGGTGCAGAGCCGGACAACCATGCTGAATAGTCGCATGGAAAAACAGCTCCCACAATTTTCAGACCTTTTGGCTCACAAATGCTGCAAAATCCCTCACCTGACACTGAGAAGCAACAGTTAAGTGCACTGTGGGGTGATGGTCCCGAAGTTCAGTCCAAAACTTGTCTCAAGGTCCCTTGCGTGGAGATACCAGACGTCCGTGATTGAGGCCTACCCAGGTAGTGAGTGGGGTGGACAGCCGCTGCCCTGCTATCTAGTCTGTCTACAACATGATGAACCCTCATGGCTGTGGCCTTGCCACCCCTCCCCCTTTGGCTGGTGGGGGTCATCCCAGTCCAGCCTGGTGCTCTATTGTCAGCTGAGCTAGTTCGTAGACTCACCCTCATCACGTCTGCCGAGACTGTTACACAACCTGGGCAAGCGTTGGAGGAGACAGCCTACCACAAGACCCTTAATTCCCTCTGCACACAATCTTGGGCGTGCAAGAGGCATGCAGCTCATGATCGGAGCGCAACTAACCGGCGCTGAGGCCCATTTCCTGGATGACACCGCCATAAGGCCGCTGGCTGAAGCAACCGCTATGGCTGGATAATACCTTTACTTCTACCGACCCTTGTCTACTTACCACGGAGTACCAGCGCCAGTATGAAATAATCCTCCATAACAGCATCAAGTGACAATCTATACCTGGGGAGGACTTCAGACCTTTTATGTCCGCACTGGAAAAAAAAAAAAATGACACCAGGTGTAGAGGTTGCTTTGTGCATGTGTGTAGCACTCTACAACCTCTAAGTGGGATGTAACAGCACTCCCCCATTGTACTTTCAACCTATGGTATGTACAGATGCACCTTCACCTCTTCCAGCACCTGGCTTTGATCAGGCGGTTGTGATAAAGGAGTGAAACACAGGAGCCATTCGTGTGCTCCATAGCACACGATAAATGAAGGGCAAGTGTACAGGACAAGCGATCCTTCACAAAAGCCAGACGGAACCCTCCCGGGAGCCACATCCCTCTCACCAAGTCTGTCCAAACACACAAAAAACTGAGTATGTGAACTTATTCTTCCAAGGGCAGTCAGAGAACTACCTGACCGGTCTGTCCTGAGTTCAGGAAAACACTGGAAGCTCAAGGTGGAGTTGCTCTTTATAAGGCTAAGAGTGCATGAGACTAGAGGTGGGGGATTGCATTTTGGCTTTTAACCTTTTCAATGATACCTGTCCTGAGAGAATAGGCAACTACCTATTTGTGATGACTGCCGCTTGGACTGAAAATATTGCTATGGGGGTGGCTAATTGGAGAAAGGTAAGAGTAAATGTGCTTAAAAGACAGTTAAGGAACAACTGAATTTGACAGGTGGTGATGAAAGATAAGTGAGGGTGTAATGGTCAGGGTAATAGGACGAGGAAGGAAATGCAGCTGTTTTTGCAAAACCAGCAATATGAAAACGACAAGAAAGAAAACAAAATGACGGCAAACAATAGGATGAGAAACTAATCAATACCAAACATTAAAAAGAGTAAAACACTATTCACCCCCTGAAAGGGCAGACAAATAGTTTATTTTTTCCTTTACTCAAATATTGTCTAGACAGACGCACCTTTATAACTGACATTAGGCGTTAGACAGGAAAACAAGTTTCTGTAAATTCTTCATGACTTGAGCTTTTCTCTTCTGATGTTGAAACCTCGAAAAGTCAAATAAGGTGTCATGATTATGTACGTCATCTGCTATGTGAAAAACCTTGATTTACACTATGCCATGATTTGTATGTGTGAAGAATGTTTTCTACCACTTACAAATGATCACTCAGAAAGCTAAAGCACCATTTTCTCAGAAAGGTCTTGTAAGGAAAGTATTGCACAACCATTTACACAGCACTCTCAATCCACTTGACAAACAGGAATTGAAATATTTACTGTAGAAATGAAAGAGCACACCACAAAGACGCCTTTAACCCATATCAATGCTTTAAGAGCCATTTCAAAGGCTGTTTCTAAGTTGGCAAAAATTGAAGTTATTTTGTATGGTTTATTGCATGATGAGGTTAGGGATCTGGGTATGCTAAAACAGAAGTTATTGTATACCTAATGAATAAGTAAAGTTTAATAGACAGCTTTTTTTGTGCAGTCGGTGTTCCTGTTATATAAAAAAAAAAAAAGTGGAGTACAAAATAAAGGATAATGGTTTTTATAGATATGGTGTGTGATTTGTTCATTTAATACAAAGTAAAAAAACTAGAGCGTTAGGAATGCAAACATGTATTCTTAATGCTACAATGCTCTTCTAATTGGTTTACCAGCTCCCCCCATTACTTCTTTACATTTGATGTAATCAACTGAGCCACTTTATTTTTATGGGTTACTGTAAATGATTTTTGTAACGGACACTCCGTCAATCGATGCTCCTAATGCTTACCAAGGTCCATAAGCACTGCACCAGACACCATAAGCTCTTCAGATCCCACGAACCGCAGCACCTTGGTTGGGGTCTCGTCGTACTCTGCCCACCCTGGACCTACGACAAGGCTCCAGGTTCCAGTGGGTGAACCTCTCCTCCAAGAGAGTTAAGCAGGAACAAGCTCTTAAAAGAGCTTAGTGATTATAGCCCAGGGGAGTATACAGAGTATAGCAAATCCCCCATTGTAAATGCAGCCCTTTCCCCCACACGACACAAGGCTCTATGTTGAGGGTAAAACAGGAACTATGCAGTCTGAGGGTTTGTCACTTTTATACAGGTTTTCCCATAAGGTTACCACCCACCTGGAACCTTGTGGAGCACAGGACACAAAGCCAATCAAAACAGTATGGTACAGTTAGACAGTCCAAGATAATGTACACAAACCCTCCCCTCTGCTTGGGAGATAATGGAGTAAGATACTGTAATTAACTCAATTATCCCCAAGCAGAAAAAAAAAATGTTTCCTAAAACACAGAAAACACCAAATATCCCCATAAATTATACATCCCTGGATAGCCCTGATCTGGGTGAACAACATATCCAACAATCACCCAGATCAGAGCAGGGGTTCAGAAAACACCCGGAAGTCATATTTGACCGACCGCAAGTATGCCTTTCATGCCCAAAATAGTTCCAGGGATTTAGGCTGTGCAGCCGGTCTATTTCACATAGTTCCAATGCAATTCAAATGCACAGACGGGACAGTTTCGTGTAAATATCCAATGTTAAAGTGGCGTTCGAATTGTCGAATGCTGCTCGACTCCTGCCAAAGCATCTAAGTTCCAGAGAAGGTAAAGTTCGTGCCGTCGCATGTCCGATTTGAGTTCCATGAACTAGACAGCAAAACACCGCTGACTGCGTTCGAACAAGATGGCCGCCGCCACGTGTTAGACTATACGAACGGTGACCACCCAGCTGTTCGTCAATTAGCTTGCTGTTAACCACCAGTCTGGGAAGTAAATTGGCTGCACACTCCACTTGTGTGTGGTTTGGCTGTTCGGTAAACCTCACTTACCGAACCAAATCGTAAAAAGGCATGAACAAGCATAAAACAAAATTAGAAAACAAAGTTTTAACGCATGGGCCATAATCCTGGGACAAAATGCTGGCAAGCAGGCCCCTCCAAAATCCAGTGGCGAGGTTATTTTCGCCACAATTTTATATTATTGTGATTGCTTACACCTTTATATGTCTGTGCTCGCCAGTAGTGTTGGCACGGTGCAATTTCCGGGTCAGTATACATCAGGCTACCCAACTCCCATGATCATATGTACCAATTTCATTAAACGTGACTTTATGAACAAAACCTTTCTGTAAATTTTAAGCACGCACATGTGGAAATAATGCAGAAAAGCAGCTTTAATGATTGATTACTACATGGCTGCTTATTAAAATCGCTCAGAAACTTCACAAAATGAAAGGCATAACCAGCAAACTAATTTATAGTTAAGCCAGCAATGTTTCTACAAGTAACCTTGTAGTCTCTAGTTTTCATGTAAAAGAGTTGTGACTTTTTTTTCCCTTTTTTTTTTTTAAATATTGCTGAATTGGTTTTATATGAACTTTGACAAAAAAAAAAAAAAAAATCATGCCTAGAAACACAATATAAATACAACTAAAGCTTCCATAACAGTTAACATGACCATATTCCCAAAACGATTGGGATAACGCAGGCTGAGATTTAGAATCTACCATGAGCTCGCTATAACTGCTCCAAACTTTTAACCTAATGAATATCAGTTAATTGACTTATAAATAAAATTAAAACAAGTTGTAACTTGCATTATGTTTTTATTTCAGAGACAAAAAAAAACACAAAAATATGAAAATTTCACTCTGCACTTGAGAGTATTGACACAGTAGTAATAATTTCCAAGAAGTCAAAAGCCATATTTTTTTAGTAAGCATCAAGTAAAATATGCTGCAGGGACAACAGTGTAATGAAATGTAGGGCATGTAACTGCTCGACAATATGAAGAAAAAAAAACAAAAAACAATGAATAACAAAGCAATCTTTTCCTAGACCTAGCCCCTTAATATTTGGAGTTCTTGGCTGTAAAATGTTATATAAAGATCCAAGTTTAATGTCATTCAATGAAAATGAACTCCCAAAAGCTGCAAATCCCGCTGTTAAATAACCATGATGAAACTGACATTTTCTTTAACAAGAAATAAAAATGATTCGCTCCAACAGTTACCATGACTACGGCAAAATATTTGAACACACAGCCAATGCAATTGAGGAACTGTAACCTTTACTCATTTAAAACATTCCGTAACAGTACACGAAGGAAGAAATGTGCTTTTTATGTTCTCCAAAGGGGCATCTATTTAGTGAACCTGAGCTCTCCTGGGAGATGGATTTATGAAGTTAGAGAGTAAGCAGAAATTTTGCACTTTTAGAACTGACAAAAAGTAAAAAGCAGCGAAGTCTCTAATGTCAGTAACATAAATTAGAAATTTTTTTTCTATTATACATTGTTCGACATTGTGAAAGTTCTTTAATTATTACTTAACTGGTCATTTTAAACAGGGAAAACACAAGCCTATGGAATATCCCTAGACATCTAATAAATGAGTCACATGATGCTTACGATGCAATTCTACTTAAAGCACTCCACTCAGAAAGACCTGCAATACATTTTACAAAATATATTTAAATAAAGAACAAAAAAAGTCCAATTGGCTAGCAAACAACATAGCTTTCGAAATCAGTCACATACATAATCTATAGAAATCATATGTATTAAACCAAAAAACAAACATTCAAGCTGCACAGTTGTTACAAGTGATGGGTACCATGGTTATTCCAATGTCCCCAGAGATTGGTAAATGCAGGCTGTTCATAGTCTTCAGTGCCAAGGGCTAAGTTCATTTGCAGGCCTCCTAGAGACAGAAAGGTGGGGTGGGGAGGAACAGGCATAAATCATGTGTTGACATCTGGTTCTGGACTATCTCTGTTCTTGGAACAAGCATGCCTCATTCAGGCTGGTTCAAAATTATAGTGGAGGGAGCATGAAACTGAATTAAGACAAAATTGAATGTTGCTGGTGTGCTGAAAAATGTGAGACTTAATACTTTAAATATGTGGCAGAACTGAAGTGAGACTAAAGAGGCATTTGTGATTACAGTCTCTGGTAAGAGAATACACAGTCAGACCATTACTGCTTCCCAGCCTGCCTGCCTGGTTTCTTTTCCTGTTGTCCCCGGCCACCTCCAGGGATTCCTCTACCTCTTCCGCCAAATACACCTGAAATGGAGGATGGAAAAAGATCTTAGTAACACACTTCTTCTTGGACCCCTGCATCACCTATGATAAAGTGGATCTCTCTTGCTAAAATTACACACAATAGAGAGGTGTTTGCTCAGAAATCATACACACATATCACACTCAACCATGAAGGCTACAGCTAGCATTTACCTGAAGTAGTGAAAATTTCAGACAGACATTGTACTGTTAAAATAGCACAAAACAGAAAATAAAAAGGCACCCACCCCATATGGTCAAAAGTTCACCTGTGTTCAATCCCCTTTTTTCCTGGCTTAAAGGGATACTCCAGGCACCCAGACCACTTCTGCCCATTGGAGTGGTCTGGGTGCCAACTCCCACTACCCTTAACCCTGCAAGTGTAATTATTGCAGTTTCCATAAACTGCAATATTTACCTTGCAGGGTTAAGTCATCCTCTAGTGGCGGTCTACTAGACAGCAATAGTGAAAAATATATATATTACAATATCCCAGTGAGTAATGCCAATAGTGGTAGATACTCTAACACCTTAGTGGGTTTTCCCTTTAACCGCACAGCAAACAGAAATATACATACAATACAAGGTGGAGTATCTGTCTTTTGGAGTTAAAATATGTCCTGGATCGTTTTTTTCCCAGGATAAAAAATAAACTTTTGCGCCAAAGCATCGATTTGTGCATTTGCTCTTAAATGTTTACAGAAGGTTTCAATATCATTGCGCACACCATGGGGAGTTTGATAACAGTTCAGTGTAATCTCTCTCCTTCTGGGGCCGGTCCTGCTGGCTGGTGTGTGTATTCAGTTCACTTCCTTGTATCCTGATCACCAGGTCACGTGATGCATTTTGCCCCGCCTCTTGGGGCTTTCTCAAATGAGCAAACTAGACAGCCACTAGAGGGACTTCTGTGTTCATAGAACATGAAAAGTTTTTTCAGCGACGCTGGACTTCCTCACGCTATGCAAGGACCTCCAGCGTCGCCGATGCTTTCCTATGGGGAGGTCTAATGCGCCTGTGTGGCCATTGTCGCACGTGCGCATTAGGTCTCCCCCGCCGGTTGATTGCGGGGTAGGAGAGTAGGTGAAGCCTCACCCAGCGCCTAGGGACATCGGCGCTGAACTCCAGTAAGTCACTGAAGGGGTTTTAACCTCTTCAGCAACTTGGGATATGGGGTGGGAGGGAGAGGGGCATTCCAGGGTCCTGCAGTGCCAGGAAGACATATGTTTTCCTGGCACTGGAGAATCCCTTTAAGCTTTAGACACTAAGATTGCCCAAAGCCACAAGACATATTACCCCAATGCTGTTCTTTTTCAATGCCTTGATAGTGCTCATGTGACCACTAAATCCTATCATTTAGGTCTCCTGACCTTTAGATTTTCTTTTTTATTCACTATTGTACTATATTTACTACTATATTTTACCCCTCATAAATACATATTTAATTGTAATTGCTAATTACAAGGTTAACAAATAGTTTAAAATACTAAGTAGTGATAGTTAACCTTTAATCATTGGCATATACAAACAGCAGCAAGCATCTTCCCTACTCTCACAGGAGTATTTAAAAATTATGTGGTATAATAATTTGAAGCAAGGGGAGTAGACAATATTCCCATTCTAATGAAAAAAAAAAAAAAAATAATATATATATATATATATATATATATATATATATATATATATATATACACACACATACACACTGCATCTCTAGGACAAGATGCTAATTGACCAATGTGGCGTTTTGCCTTTTACATTAGTGACAGGGAGGCTAAGGGGCTACATACTTATATTACATTAACGACAGGATACATGTTTGTATTCCTGTCACTATAATGTTCCTTTAACTTTCCACAAAAAACACATTCCCAGTTTTTACATTTTTTAGATAATATGTGTAATTTATAAATGATTAATATTTAACACTAGAGTAGCTGGTTTTAAACAGATATTCTACACAAAATCTTATATGATCTAGTTCTACCCATTAAAATCTCAATATCTGTCAAAAAAATAGATTACCTCGTCCAGCTCCTCCAACTCCTCTGCCTTTCATCTGTTTCTGCTGCTGCATGCCACCTCGACCCCTGCCCTTTGACATCACTTCCTCTTTCACCATATCAATAATTTCATCAGGGATGCGCAAGTATTTAATAGTGCTACCTCGTATGTAGCACTCAGGCATCCGCCAGAATTTGTCACCATCCTGTAAAGAGATTAAAAATGAAATCATAAGCACATGTTAAAATACTGAACCCTTGTGACAGCGGCAGAAAGATGTGAAGCACTCAAACAAGGTAGTTAGAAAGAGAAAGCCTAGCATGCATTTACCTTCTAGTGTTCATTTGACATAGATTACTTTTTAGAAATTTCACTACATGGTATGGCAACTGGTAGCTTTAGAAAAGTAGAAATTGTTGAGTATTTTGTTATTTAAATAAATCTTATAAATAAAAAAAATATATATATTTTTAAATCCATTAGTGATCGGTTTAAAAAAAATAAAAATCACTTGCCTACATTTCTCACTATCCTTTTCTAACAGTCATCTTTAGGCACCTTGGAACAGTCCATGCTCACTATTGTGCAACCCTCTTACTCTTCAAAATCGTGTTCTCTTTCTACCTATTTGATAAGTAAATAGTGTGTAGAAGGCACTCAAATAATTCCACATTTTGGTGCAGGTGCTAGAAGGCGGGGTCCCTGTTCCCCTAGATCCATGGTATAAGCAAATAAAAATTGTAAAAATAAAATTAAAATAAAGGTCCTTTGCACTCCGTAAATTCAGGTGTTTTTTTCAGCTATCAAAGTGAAAGTGCAGTGTATCGACACGTCTTTTTCTTGGCTTGAGAAAGACACATATACGTGTCAAAACATTACCCTTTCACTTTGATGACTAAGTAAACTAACTTAATTTATTGCGGAGTACGGAGGACTTTACTTTTTGCTCCTTATACCGGTGTGATTTTTAGTTTGGTGATTTTGAGATGCAATGGATTTTTGCAAAATAACGAGTTATCCTTTGAAATTCTCCAAAAGAATGGAGACACCAATTATGTGACAAAACAAATACATTATACTGGGCCTACAATGTCAAAAATTGAAAACATTTGTTTCTTAAAGACCTTACCTACAGCTATGCCATGTAAATTTTTACTGACTACACAAGTTCTACCATGCAAATATATGCACACATTCCTATCCAGATTGAGTACTAAACATTACATTACTTTCTCATTTTAATTTCAGTAGAGTGTGGGAGCTTATCTTATTTAAGAGAGTGCAGTGACATGGCAAACTGACGTTCCATACATACAGTAGTGAGCACATAAAGAGAAAAATTTATAACACACACACACATACACACCAAAAATTTTATGATGGGGAAAAAAAATGTGATTGAAAACCCCTTCCACCTGAAGTCTGTGGATAGTTAATACAATGTTAAACACAAATCTGACCCATAAGACTTGCTTTTCCCACAGAAATCACAAATTTACAGTGATGTTACTACTGCAAAGGATTCATCACAATTTTTTTTCCCCACCATAACCATTTTGTTTTTTGCTTCCCAAGCACTGCCAAGCCTCAATAAGCAACCCAGTAACCAACCTCATGCTGATGATTTGCATTAACAATGAAACAGCTTTCCATGAGTGGTCCACTGGCTTTGCATCTTTTCCTAAGTTGTGTTTTAAAGCTGTTGTAAACAGCAAACACAGACAAAGGAATCCATGTTTAAAATGGAATGAGGTAAAAATGTGATTCTTTGTTAAACTAATTTGCATATGCCCACCCAGAATCCTTTGCGGTAGTAACCACTGCAAATTTGTTATTTCTGTGGGAAAAGCAAGTCTTATGGGTTGACTGGTGTGCAGATTTTTGTTTAACATTGTAAATATATATACATACATATGTACACACACATACACACACACACACATACACACACATATACACACACACTTGATGTATAATACATATCTTTTCCAGAAAAACCATTTAGTTCCACCTTCTCATTTCCCCTGTTTAGAATTATTTACTAGCAGTCTGTTTAACGCTTTACTCGGATTGCCTTCCACATTTCAATTAGGCACTTCATCCCAAAAAACTTTACCAATCCTCTCTCTATATACCCTGCCCCTACTCGTATCCTTGTACAATATGCACTCTGGAATGCATGTTTAATCTACCTAAAAGGTAAATCTACACTTGTCCATTACCGGTTATTACTTGGTAACTTCAACATTTCCAGTGACAACTACTTACTCTGATGCCTCAGTCCTTCAGTCTCACACACTGGATCCATTCTCACATTCATAATGCTGGTAGAACATCCTTGAGATCATCTACTCTAACTTTTGCTCTAGTCTCCTGTCTTCTGACATACAAAATCAATACACACTGTAGCCAACCTCATATACATTACCTTCCACAGCGTTACGGAAACGACCATTTACTTGATTGACAACGACTTCTAGTTATCTCAATTCTCTCCCATTTGAACTATCTCCTGTCCCAACTCTACAACCTTCCTGTACAGCTGCCACCTCTCAGTCTTATAGACAGAGCAGGACTAGTGATTCACTCCTTTGAAGCCGAAACTCCAACCCTGTCACCAACTGTTTTATGTAGCTGCCGCTTTTAACTGCTTTTTAAATGTGAACCACCAGCTTCTCCTCATACTCTGTAATTTTGAAATCAGTGCACAGATGCACAATTAAGAGAGATTAGAAAATAGAATAAATATTACCCCACATGAACCAAGTTCATATTATCACAAAATACAAGACCATTTAAAGAGCCTTGCAATGCCATTATTTTCCATCAATACATACTTCATTATATATCTTTAATATTACATGATATATTTTAAAGGGTTACTTCAACCAAAAAAACTGTGTTTTAAGAAAACTAATTTTGGCTAAATAAGTAACAGCTGGTGTGCTGGTCCTCACAGTCAAAGTATAATAAAATAAAAAATAAATATACGAGGAACGTTGAGCTAAGGGGAGCCATACTGACATTAGTTGTCTGTCGCCAGCATGCAGACAAAAGACACAAAATTGAGGAGCCAGTCTGGAACTCATTTCAGGCAGTCTGATGCCCCAGTGATACTGTAGGTGGGTTAAACTCTGTATGTGCAGTGTTTAATAGTAAAATGCTGCACATGCAGACGCTAGGCACCATGACTACTTTAAATCGCTAAAGTTATAATGTTGCTTGAAGTAACCCTTTCAGGTTACTCTATGTCTAAACATAATGTAGAAGTTAAAGTTTAGATGCTAAAATAGTATTGAGGCGAATGGTTAGTTTAGAACAGGGTTCTCCAAACTCCAGCCCTTCAGATGTTGCTGAACTACAATGATGATTATTTGAATTAAATAAATCGCCAGCGAATCATAGGCATTTTAGTTCAGCAACATCTGGAGGCTTGGCTTAAAGCTGTTAAAGATACAGCTGCTATCAGCTCATTCAGCAGTATTGATCATCCACCTCAAACTACTTATGGTTGAAGTGCTATTTGGGGGTTTATGGTAGAAGACTAGACCCAAGAATGAACAGAAGTAATTGTTTTTAATTTTTGTTATATATTAAATATGGTAGTCACCAGTATGAGTGATTGTTAAAGCAGAAAGGTCTTTCAGTGTTTTTCTTTTTTATATGGTTTCCTTATTCTTATATTTAAATGGACACTATAAGCAGAAAGACAGCCACCAGAGGTGTATTTAGCTCTGCATTCAAAACCTTGTTTCTACTAAACAGCAATGTTTCAGATTGCAGGGCTAAAACGCCATGGGCGCTTATTGCTTATTATTTTTAGGGTATTATTTAACAAATTATACTGACGACACATACCCTTGAGGTACAAATAACTTCTCTTAGATTGATGTTCATCCAGTTATCACAGCTGACCAGGTGACCGTTGTATGTTTCTCCATTCTTTAATTCCACCAACTAAAGGAACAAAATTTAAATTTCAGAACACTTGCCAAACGGATTACAGTACTACTAACAGTTATAGCATATTATGGGCAAACAAAAATATTTCGCAAAAGCATGAAACACACTCCCACCTAAATTTAATGTAGGATATTTCATAGATAATATTAATAAAATGTTTGTGATTAAACATTAAAGTGGTTGTCACAACTATATAAACATACATACACGCACACACACATCTATATATACACACACATATAACCTTGTTGAAGTGCACTCGCAGGACTCCGTAGTATTTCAAATCGTACTTAGGGAAAGTATAGGATGAAAAAAGTCCAGATAGGACTGAAACGTCAATTTTTTTTGTAATATTTGATGCTTCAATAAATAAGCACAATTAGAAATACTACTGAGTCCTGCGAGTGCACTTCAACAAGGTCAGAGTTTGCACCCAGGCGTTTACAAGACCGGGAGCAGTGAGTGCGGGACACGTGGAAAATCATATTATATATATATATATATATATATATATATATATATATATATATATATATATATATATATATATATATATATACACACACACATACATACACACACACACACATACATACACACACACACACACACACACACACATATATCTATCTATATATATACACACACACACACACATACAGTTGCAAGAAAAAAGTATGTTAACCCTTTGGAATGATATGGATTTCTGCACAAATTGGTCATAAAATGTGATATCTTCTAAGTCACAACAATAGACACTCTGCTTAAACTAATAAACACACAAAGAATGAAATGTTGCCATGTTTTTATTGAACACACCATGTAAACATTCACAGCGCAGGTGGAAAAAGTATGTGAACTCCTAGACTAATGACATCTCCAAGAGCTAATTGGAGTGAGATGTCAGCCAACTGGAGTCCAATCAATGAGATGAGATGGGATTGGAGGTGTTGGTTACAGCTGCCCTGCCCTATAAAAAACACACCAGTTCTGGGTTTGCTTTTCACAAGGAGCATTGCCTGATGTAAATGATGCCTCGCACAAAAGAGCTCTCAGAAGACCTACGTTTAAGAATTGTTGACTTGCATAAAGCTAGAAAGGGTTATAAAAGTATCTCCAAAAGCCTTGCTGTTCATCAGTCCACGATAAGACAAAATTGTCTATAAATGGAGAAAGTTCAGCACTGCTGCTACTCTCCCTAAGAGTGGCCATCCTGTAAAGATGAATGCAAGAGCACAGCGCAGACTGCTCAATGAGTTGAAGAAGAATCCAAGAGTGTCAGCTCAAGACTTACAAAAGTCACTGGCAAATGCTAACATCCCTGTTAGCAAATCTACAAAACGTAATACACTAAACAAGAATGGATTTCATGGGAGATACCACAGAGGAAGCCACTGTTGTCCAAACAAAACATTACTGCACGTTTACAGTTTGCACAAGAGAACCTGTATGTTCCACAGCAGTACTGGCAAAATATTCTGTGGACAGATGAAACCAAACTTTCGTTGTTTGGAAGTAACACAAAACACTATGTGTGGCGAAAAAAAGGCACAACACACCAACATCAAAACCTCATCCCAACTGAAGTATGGTGGTGGGGGCATCATGGTTTAGAGCTGCTTTGCTGCGTCAAGACCTGGACGGATTGCGATCATCGAAGGAAAAATGAATTCCCAAGTTCATCAAGATATTTTGCAGGAGAACTTAAGGCCATCTGTCTACCAGCTGAAGCTCAACAGAAGGTGGGTGTTGCAACAGGACAATGACCCAAAGCATAGAAGAAAATCAACAACAGAATGTCTTAAACAGAAGAAAAGACGCCTTCTGAAGTGGCCCAGTCAGAGTCCTGACCTCAACCCGATTGAGATGCTGTGGCATGAACTCAAGAAAGCGATTCACACCAGACATCCCAAGAATATTGCTTAACTGAAACAGTTCTTTAAAGAGGAATGGTCAAGAATTACTCCTGACCGTTGTCCACGTCTGATCTGCAACTACAGGAAACGTTTGGTTGAAGTTATTGCTGCCAAAGAAGGTTCAACCAGTTATTAAATCCAAGAGTTCACATACTTTTTCCACATGCACTGTGAATGTTTACATGGTGTGTTCAATAAATACATGGCAGAAATCCGTATAATTCCAAAGGGTTCACATACTTTTTCTTGCAACTGTATAAACACACATATATATATATATTTTTTTTAATATCCTTCAACTTTATAGTTGCGCAGCACTCTAAAATGATGCAAGATGATCATTTCGCGAAGCAGCCGAGGAAAGACAGAAAGGGGCGAGTAAAGTGGATGAATTTTACCACATGACAGGAGGCTTCATATTTGCATAACTCTACTGAAAATCTCCAGCAGCACAGAACAAACAACCAATCTGAAAAAAAAGGATGTTACACAAAAAGCCCTGTAAGCACACGCCTCAGGGTTCTTTGTGCGTCACGGCCGTTTTCACCACGTTCGCGCTCATCTTTCTATCAGGGGACACTATGTTTATGGTGCATACAGGATGGAGGGGGTTTTCAGAGTTATTCTTACTATACCGGTTAGTTCCGGCCATTTTGGATCGTGCGAGTATCGCGAAGTTCACGGCAGCCATCTTTTGTCCGGTCATTCCAGATCGAGAATCACTCGGTCTGGACTCTAAGCATAGCAACTCGCTGTAGAACCACAAGCCTGCTCCATATTTACCTTTGCGGACCTTGACAAGGTAATATGTCATACAATCTGCATCTGTTTGTGCCTGCTTTATCTGCAAGTCAATTTAATGAGTGCAGTGTACAATGGATTTCTGCATGTGATTACCACCTCATACCTGTTCATTAACAGGGATATATATATATATATCTCTCTATCACACATACATACACACTCTACCCATTGGTATAGCATAAGGCTGCTTTGGATTCTTCATCCTATACTTTACCTAACTTAATACAGGTAGCTGGGGGTCCATCAGATCCCTAGTATTTTGCGGAGTATCTTAATTAGTCCGGTCAGATCTCGCTCTGGCTTTAGAATCTTTCAGTCTTATTTTATTCACAATACTTCACAGGAGGTGAAGGTGGTTTTTGCCATGGCCACGGTATACAATCATGCTAGTACACTCCCCCACGCACACTGTCATCACGTATGACGTCACTGCACGTATCACGTCATCCTTGCAATGCGCACATGGACCAATCACTTCCGGTTTCGGGAACACAGATGGGAGCCATCACACCCCTTTGGTAAGTCACCAATTTATTATTTTATATATTGATGCACTGTATTATTTGTTGTTGATCTTGATAAAGACCCAGGAGGGTTGAAATTTTTGATTGATTGTTCATTTCAATACACCTTGAAAAAAAAATCCCAGAGGAGTGCTCCATTTATTTTCTATTTATGTGTGCGCTGGAGGCACCCAGGTAATTTCTGTTTAAAAAAAAATACATACATTTGTTTGTTTATGGTGAGTGCCAGAGCTTTGAATGAAATATAAAAAAAAAAAAAAATTATATATATATATATATATATATATATATATATATATATATATATATATATATATATATATATATATATATATATATACACACACACACACACGTTCCCATACAAGGCATCCCAGTGGGCCAAGACCCTCTGGTATGTCGCTTGTCCGGTCATTCCAGATCGAGAATCACTCGGTCTGGACTCTAAGCATAGCAACTCGCTGTAGAACCACAAGCCTGCTCCATATTTACCTAAGCTATCCAGGCCTCCAGCTCCTAAATATTCTCGTCTCTGGGACGTAGAAGTGGTTCTGCGGTTCCTTCTAGATTGGCCGGATAACCCGGGTCTTTCAGACAATTGTCTGCAAAACTTACCCTGTTATTGTTCCTCATCTCTTTTCGTTGAATCCTGTTTCGGGGCCCATTTGGTCAGAGGTGCAGCCGCATCTCAGGCTCTCTCGGTGGGAGAATCCCTTCCAGGCATCATGTATTGCGTGGATTGGACACGTGAGAGTACCTTTATAGTATTCTTCTTTCACCAAGTTACTCATGCTTCTTTTGCTCTTCTTAATAATCAGTGTTAAAAATGCAAATATGAAGCCTCCTGTCATGTGGTAAAATTGTAGATTATGCTAAGTGTACCTATAATCTTAATTTTAGTAATGACAGGAGGCAAATATTTCCCTCCTGTATTTCTCTTCCCTACCTTTTTTCTGTATGGAATGTACTAAGGTTTCTGTTCTGTACTACAAATTTATGGGAGGGTGTCAAGGTTCTATGGTAATCAGATGTGTACTCAAATTTATGTTGTTGATATGTCCATAAGAAATTGCATAATGTAATTGTTAAATATATGCGAATAATCGACCATTTCAGATGCCTGTCACTTTTTTCGTTCAGTGTAATTGGTTCTCTTCTGGAGTCCAGGATACAGTTGCAAGCTTTGACTATTTCCCCTTCTTGAGCTATGGAATTTAGCATTAATTATTTGGAACTTTGCCAGACGTTCGTTGTTCGTGGTTTATGTATTTATTACCTGTTTGTCGCTACAAAGAAGTACGTGCCAGTAGCCAACCAGAGCAGACGCGTGTCAAATGAGCTCCGCTAAAATCAGCCTGAACTTAATTATACGACCCAAATCCCACTAATTTCGGGTCACATCAAACCGGAAAGGTCCCGCGATATCAGGGACCTTTTCCTCCGTCCCACTAAGGCCTCAGGAATTTCCGCACCAAAAGAAGATGGCGACTCAACCTCGGCCTCCTCCGAAGAACAAGCGCTGGATGAGCTGGACGAGTTCCCAAACACCACCCCTCTTTGGATGAGGACAACAGGCTGCCTTCCACTAAAAGGAGATATAAAAGACCTTCTCTGCCACATCCGTACGATGTTCGCAGCAGACTTAGTCCCAATGCAGGAGGAGATACATACGGTGGAAGGACGAGTTAAGACAGTAGAGGAGGACACGCAGGGCCTCACTGCACGATGCATACAACTAGAAGCACAAAATGCAGAGTTACAACGCACCCAGTTCCTGCTTACTAACCGCCTGGATGCAATGGACGATCGGCACAGGAGCCGGAACGTCAAAATCCAGGGAATCCTGGAGACTGTGACCCAGGAAGACCTGACAATATACCAAGAGATTGCTCAGGCGAAACAAGTTGTGATTCATGGGATCTATCGCATCCCAAGAGCTACCAGAGCCCCAACAGATGCAATATTACAACTCCAAACAAGGTCAGCTCAAATAAACTTTATGGCAGCAGTGCGAGGTGCATCTACTCACCCCTTCAAAAATGCCGCTCTGTCTTTCTACCAGGACCTGTCCAGGCCTACCTTGACATTAGCGTTGCTTTTTACATTATCTCACCACAATGCTTTTAACCTGTAACTCTTGAAACGTACCGTTTAACTTAACCTGCATTGGGTAGGGCTCACTTGTTATTTTAACGCCTATTCTCTCATTCTCCTGCAATATAAGCAAGTTTTATAACGCTTTAACTTTTAACCATTCACAATTCTGGATAGCCCAAGCTAAGGCCCTGTTTTGTTTATCCTTTAGACATGTTTGACTAGCCTGTGACTTTGCATCTCAACCTAAAAATGTGTGCAGTAATCTTATATGCCTCATACTTGCTTAAATGTGTATCTTACAACCTTTGCTACTGCTGTTGGGGTGTTGCAATAATGTATGTAAAATATTTGCACCACAAAAATAAAGAACTTAAAGGACCACTATAGTGCCATGAAAACATACTCGTTTTCCTGGCACTATCGTGCCCTGAGGGTGCCCCCACCCTCAGGGTCCCCCTCCCGCCGGGCTCTTGGGTGAAGAAGGGGTTAAACTTACCTCTTTCTCCAGCGCCGGGCAGGGGGCTCTCCTCCTCTCCTGCTGAATGCGCAGCGCATTCAGCCAGTCTCATAAGAAAGCATTCACAATGCTTTCCTATGGACGCTGTCGTCTTCTCACTGTGAAAAATCACAGTGAGAAGCGCGGAAGCCCTCTAGCGGCTGTCAATGAGACAGCCACTAGAGGCTGGATTAACCCATTTATAAACATAGCAGTTTCTCTGAAACTGCTATGTTTATAGAAAAAAGGGTTAAACCTAGCTGGACCTGGCACCCAGACCACTTTATTAAGCTGAAGTGGTCTGTGTGCCTATAGTGGTCCTTTAAAAAAAATTTAAAAAAATAAATGCTTTATATCAAACAAGTTCTAAAACACATGAATAAGGTCAACTAAATGTGTCATTGAGTTAACTTGCTACATACCATAGGGTGATTTTGCGCTGTTTTCAGTAAGGATAATGGCAACTGTAAGAGAAATAATATTTATTAAACAAAAAAAATTTTTAAAAGGGCTGACTACATAGAATAATTTAACAAAAAAATAAAAAATCTAATTTGATTTAGCTGTCTGAACATTAAAAACATATATTGAAGAGCAGAAATATATCCATCTTCAATCTCATAATATTCAGCTTGTACAGAAGAGTTTTACTATAACTATATGATACAGTTTAACAGGATATAAACTAAACAAATCCTTTATGAAGTGGGGAAAAAATTTTTATAGCTTAATAAGTAAACTTTAATATAGAAACAGAATGTGACGGAAGATAAGAACCATTCGGCCCATCTAGTCTGCCCAAATGTTGTTGTTGTAAGGAAGGAGCAGTGTTATGCCTTTGGCTCATTTGGAATTTATTCATCTCCAAACTGTAGTGATTTCAAAGATAAATTGGAAGTGTAGGAATAAAAGAAGTGTTGATTTGGTAAAATTCTTCAACCTATATAATAATATACATGGTGGTATCGGTGACATACAGTTTGTTTAGTCTGCTGATAGATTGAAGATGTAATGCAACACAGAACTGATCACTGTGGTAAAAGAATGCAAGGAATAGGACAAGGTTATAATTATAAGACGTGATTTTTCCATATCTGATCCATCCTTGTTTGGAACAGGTACATCACCATTTTCAAGTCCACCCCAGACGATTGCCCACAAAAAAAAAAAAAAAAAGTGTTATTGTAGCTGTGCTGAAGCGTCTATTGAATTAGTTTTGTAGAAATAATGTTGCTACATATAACGTTACACCTGAGCTAACATTAAATCTACAGTATAGAAAGAGGTAGTCAACCTGCTGCACTCCAAGTGTTGTGGACTACATCACCCATGATGCTCTTACAGCCATAATGCTGGCAAAGTATCATGGGGGATTTAGTCCAACAATATCTGGAGTGCAGAAGGTTGCCAGCCTGAGCTAAAAATATATAAATATCCTGAGCTAATGCCATGCACATAATGTGGATTCCTATAAATGTTAGTACCCACTCTTTAATACAGGGGTCCTCAAACTGTGACCCTCCAGGTGTTGCTGAACTACAACTCCCATGATTCTTTGAATTACATAGATAGCCAGAGAATCATGGGAGTTGTAGTTTAGCAATATGTGGAGTGCCGCAGTTTGAGGAGCCCTGCTTTAATACATAGAGAGAGCAAGCCCCCCCTCCCGCCATAACATGTAATGACTAGAGCCGTGTAACTAAGTCAGCCCCATGTACAGCACGGGACTACATGCATCTCTACGTTGCACAATGGTGAATGTCTAGAAGTCAGACGAGGTCTGTATGAGGCCTCGTCTCTGTTTCGGTTCCCCTCCCCGGTAACTCGCCATGTTTCACTGTGTCCCACGTTTCCCCCACGGTCACTTCCGCTCAGTTGCTCGGACAACGGGGAGAGCGCGCGCGCGTGACGACGGGCAAGATCCACTCCCTCCCCCCCCCAGTCAACTGACAGCTTTTGGAAGCTCCAATCAGAATACAGACCAACGCCAGGGCCCTATCAACAGACTGCACGCACGCACGCACGCACGCGGACGCTTGGCGTGTTGGCGCACGCACGGACGTCGTGTACGCTTGCACTTAGGGCGGCCATGTGTAATGTGGGCGGAGGAGGCGGCCAGGGAATGTTTTTGTGTCTGTGCTTGGCAAACAGGCAGCGCGCTGTTATAATAAGTTTATGAAGGGTTACTGGCGTTATATTAGACGCTCATTAGTCAGATAGATATGGCCATTTCGTATTTAAACGAGGGCATTGGGTCATTTATCTAAAGATATGCAGATTTTTTTTTTTTTCCTTTGGTATTTGTTTATTATGCACCTGCTGCTACCAATAAAACGCACTTCCATACTTTACATACATTGTGGTTGATAAGATTTAGTTTTACATATATCCCTACATTGCTATTGAACTAAGAGGAAAACCTTAAAGCACTATAACAAAATCTCATTAAAGTTCGAGTGCATTATGTAGGTCCCCCTGTCAGTATTGTATATATTTTAATAGTTTGAAGGCTTAGAAATGTGACTAGATGCTAGGAGTCAAGGCCCTCTGTATATTAGGTACAGGTCTGTAACTCCCCGGCTATCATTTCTAGGTATACAAGATGTCGCGTGTACGTGATCAGTGCCATTACCGGCATGTCGTAGGTAATCATTGTATGGGTCGGACTCGGATGATGGTTTGGCAAAAATAAAGGCAAAATGGAGAAGCCATGTGTTTTAAAATGGTACACCTTATGATTCAATAGCTTGTTGAACCACCTTTAGCAGCGATAACTTGAAGTAATTGCTTTCTGTATGACTCAGTTTCTAACATCGTTGTGGAGTATGTTTGTCCCACTCTAGTTTGCAACGTAGTTTAGTTCAGTTTATTCAGGTTTGCTGGGATTTGATTATGAACAACTCTCTTAAGGTCCCTCCACAGCATTTCAATCAGGTTGAGGTCAAGACTTTGACTGGGCAAGTTCAACACCTTGATTCTTTTCTATTTCAGCCATTCTGTGGTTGATTAGCTGGTGTGCTTGGGATCATTGTTCTGTTGCATGACCCAATTTTGGCCAAGCTGTAGCTTTTGGACAGATGGCCTCACATTTGACTCTAGAATACTCTGGTATACAGATGAGTTTATAGTTTACCCACTGTTTGCAAGGTTCTCGGGTTCTGTGGCTGCAAAACAAGCCCATATCATCACCCCTCCACCGTTCTTGACAGTTCATATGAGGTGTTTGTGCTGATATGCTGTGGTTTGGTTTGGTTCTTGCCAAACATTGTGCTGTGCATTAAGGTCAAACATCTCCACTTTGGTCTTGTCTGTCCAAAGGACATTGTTCCACAAGTCTTGTGGTTTGTTCGTATGCAGCTTTGCAAACCTAAGCCGTGCTGCCATGTTCTTTTTAGAGAGAATGTGCTTTCTCCTGACAGCCCTTCCAAATAAACTTGTTCAGTCATTTTCTAATTTTACTGTTTGGAACTTTGCATTCTAGCTAAGGCCTGCATAGTCTGAGATGTAACTCTTGAGTTTTTTGCAATTTCTTTGAGCATTGCATGGTCTCACTTTGGGGTGAATTTGATGAGACGTTCACTACTGAGAAGATCGGCAACTGTCTTGAATGTTTTCCACTTTTGAATAATCTTTTGCTACTTTAGAATGGTGGACTTTAAATTGTTTAGAAGTGGTCTTATAACCCTTCCCAGTTTGATGGGCAGCAACAATTACTTCTCTAAGATCATTGCTGATTTCTTTCCTCCTTGGCATTGTGGTAACACACAACTAAATGTTTCAGACAAGCAAACTGTTAAAACTTTAACCTTTATAGAGGTGGTTACACTTGCTGATGATCAATTAATCAAAGGCATTTGAGTAGCAGCACGTCTGCTACATCATCTCTTAAAGGACCACTATAGTGCCATGAAAACATACTCGTTTTCCTGGCACTATAGTGCCCTGAGGGTGCCCCCACCCTCAGGGTCCCTCTCCCGCCCGGCTCTGGAAAGGGGAAAAGGGGTAAAACTTACCTTTTTCCAGCGCTGGGCGGGGAGCTATCCTCCTCCTCTCATCCCCGTCGGCTGAATGCGCACGCGCGGCAAGAGCTGCGCGCGCATTCAGCCGGTCGCATAGGAAAGCATTATCAATGCTTTCCTATGGACGCTTGCGTGCTCTCACTGTGATTTTCAAAGTGAGAATCACGCAAGCGCCTCTAGCGGCTGTCAATGAGACAGCCGCTAGAGGCTTTGGGGGAAGGCTTAACCCATTTATAAACATAGCAGTTTCTCTGAAATTGCTATGTTTATAAAAAAAAAATGGGTTAACCCTAGCTGGACCTGGCACCCAGACCACTTCATTAAGCTGAAGTGGTCTGGGTGCCTAGAGTGGTCCTTTAATTCCTATGGAAGCAGTAAGGGTGTACTTAGTTTTTCATGCATGCCTTCTCAATTTTGGCTTTATTTTTGTTAAGTTAATCATGACACAGTGTAATATGTCATGTGTAGTTCATCTGAGGTTGTATTTACTAATCATGTAACTAATTCTAAGGCATAGATGTTATTATGTCCTGATTTGTAAAGCCATAGAATTCAAAGAGGGTGTACTTACTTTACCCCATGACTGTATATATATATATATATATATATATATATTATTATTCCATATTATTATAAGCTACCCCTCCTGTTTTTTTCCTCTATTGCTCATTTCTCACTATGTGAGTAAAATCAACATTTAGTAATTGTCCCCTAAGCATCGATCATATTATTTTTCCCATCAATCATCTCTTTTTTTGGTGACAAGGGAGGAATTCAGAATACTGACCACTCTCTGAACATGTTCAGCATTGTGTGTTTCAGTTAGTCTGTAAGATTGGAATTAAGTTGAATACCCAATTGGCACAAATTCAGCCAAATTGCAGTTCGGCCCAAAATGAATCTCCTAGTCAAGTGACATATTTAATTTGCACATATACCTATGCAGGTCAGTTGTCAAGTAACATAAATAAATGTGCATCACACACACAATGTGCACATTGTATGTCAAATATACCACCTATTGCAGGTATCCACAATATGCATCACATCTGAAAGACAAATTTAGACATACATAGTGCTCTCCATAAAACATAAATTTCAGAAGAGTTGAAATATATGGAATACACTCACAAAGGTGGAGTCGTATCGGGCTCTATTTATGGAGCCCTTGGGTGCCTATACAGGCTATCAATATCCCCCAGCCTGGGACATGAGATGATGCACAGAAGTGAATGGGTAAAACATGAATTCAAATTTATTGTAACAAAATATATATATAAAAAAATATAAAACTGCAAGGGACAGGGATAAGGCAGGTATAACATATAAATAAAAAATAAATACACCGCAAAAATGGCCAATCAAAACAGTGCAAAAAAGAATAGTAACATAAATACCGCTGGAAAAGTCCCAAAATCAAATTCTTTCAGTCAAATGCAAACACGTTTCAGCCCTACGTGGGGCCTTCCTCAGTGCTGTCCGACTGGTCTGTGTCCAGGATTTAAATACCTCTCCTGATGGGGGTAAGCTGGTCTGGCTGCCTCTGAAGCTCATTTCCAGTTTTACGCACTTCACTTCCGCGTTCCCTTGCAGTTTAATATCTTTTATATATATATATATTTACAATAAATTTTTATTCATATTTTACCCATTCACTTCTGTGGATCATAACTTGTTCCTGGCAGGTAATTGGAGTTGACTTGGATCATTATCATGTTTTATTTTAAAGTGCTATGACAGGCTATGTTTCTCAAATCCATTCCTAATATTGCGAACATGCTCTTGAATCCTCACATGTAGTGCCATCGTTGTCCTTCCTACATAAACCAACCCATATGTACATGTAATGATGTAGATAACCTTTTTCTTGTGACATGTAATCGTTTCTCATTTTGTGGATGTGTGAATTTGATGTGTCTTTTTTTACTGTTAGTGTTAACACATGCTCTGCAGCTACAACATCCATAAAATCAAAATTCTTCACTAAAGAAATTTCTCGGGATTTGTTTAGATTTCAAATGGCTATGGGCCAAATTACTTTTCAGACTGGGTACACCTCTATAAGTTATATTAGGTCTATCGGGTAGTATGGAATGTAAAATTTCATGCATCTTTATAATTATCCAATATTTGTTAACCCCTTCAGGACTGGACTGTTTTGGCCATGTTGTACGTTAAGGACCAGAGCTGTTTTAACACTTTTGTGGTGTTTGTGTTTAGCTGTAATTTTCTACTCTCCCATTTACTGTTCCCATACAAATTATATATTAGGGTTTTTTCAGGACAAGAAGGGCTTTCTTTACTTACCATTATTTGTATCATGTCATATAATTTACTTTAAAAAAAATAAAATATGGTAAAAATGGAAAAGAAACATGTTTTTTGAATGTTACTTGAAAAATCTTTTACTAGCTAATGAGCTAATGAAAAAAACAGCTAAATAGATTAAAAATGTCCTGAGTTTAAAAACACCCAGTGTTTACATGCTTTTTTTTTTTTTGCAAGTTATAGGGCTATAAGTACAAGTAGGAAATTGCTGTTTCAAAATATATATTTCTTAAATTTATCAATAGTGACATTGTAACAGGAGTCTGAAGCAAGGCAAAACGTGTTGAGCAGATAGTAACCCCTGAAAGACCTCCAGTATAGCAGGACTTATAGATTGACTAACATGTTCCTGATTATTGACGGCATGCAGAGGCATGCCCACATTGAGGCAAAAAGCGTAATTGTGCAATTACTTTTGTGAGTGTTCCTACATTCTTCGTTTTAATATTTTGTGTGTATTAAAGTTTGCACTATGATTTCTCTGTTTCTCTTTCTGATGTGAGTTTGATCCTTAACTCTGCATTTTGGTAACTATAACCACCTCATATTTTGTGATTGTGGCACCCTGTACTGTATTTCACTTTTGTGTTATACAGTTTGCTTGCACTTGGTTCTATTGGAGGGATACAGTGATTGTTCCCTGGTT